TATATATATATATATATATATATATATATATATATATATATATATATATATATATATATATGTATGTATGTATTCTTAACCTAGGTGTTTTTATAATTCAGTTTTGCTGAGACAAATTATTATAAATAAATAAAAATAAAATAAAATGAAATAATAATAATAATAATGAAAAAATGGTATAAATGCACATTTTGCGCATCCAATCTGAAATGCAACAGCAGACTTGCACTGGAAAGAGAACTGAAATGTAAAGAGAGGTACTCCATAGTGTTTGACTGTTAGAGTACTTTATTGCAGAAGATGTACATGTAACAATCCCAAGTAAAAAAGGATAATGTGAATTTTGAGAAGGTAATGATGTAATTCATTAGCATTTTACCTTTTAAAGTTTTCAGTTTGTAAAATTATACTAGAATATATATTATAGATTATGTTAATATTGTGTGAAAAGACATTTGATGTGAAAGGATACATAAATTTGCATTTCTGTGACATTTGTATATCATTGAAGATTTTTTTTTCTTTGTCTATTAACTCGCCTTAATTTGCATTGCATATGTGCAAAGATTCACTCAAAAAATGAATTGTACTTTTTGAATGTACTTTTTTAGTCTATTAATTATGTTTCCAATTACCATATTTATCTCTGATAGACAATATAAACCTGTTTAATGTGAACTGCAGTGGTTGTATGATAGGTTTGATACACTAAAAAGATAAATGCAGGGAAGATTGATTACGATAGGTATTCTGTAGAAAAAAAAAGTAAAAAAGAAAAAGGAAACAAGATTGGATAAACATCAAAAGTTAATAATCATGAAGGAAGTTTTAATGTGAACGAAGACCACGTTGATGATGAGGAGAGAGACACTGCATCTGTGAAGTGACTTTGTTCAATTTTCACTGAATCTCTGATTTCAGCCATCAACTCTACAGCCATGTGCAAAAGCCCTGTACAACTATGAAAGGAAAGAGGCCAGGTAAGTGTTTGCAGCCACTTTACAGTTTGCTTGTCATAATCTGTCGTAAAAAGTGACAGTCGTGCAGATATGTTCCTCTCTTCAGACATTTTTCCTTTCACTTCAGCTTTTATTTTATTTTTTATTTTTTTATTTTCTCTACTCACATTATTCAAATAGATGCTTCAGTGTAACTTTCTGAGAACATGCTGGGACTGACTATCATTGCCAGTGCTTTATCATGGATGATGGTAGCCTAATGATACAATTTTTTATTAGAAGACCAGTGGGGTAATAATAATTGCATTTTCAATGGTTTTGCAGATCTAGTGAGATTAAAGAGACAGATATTTGTTAATGATTGGGGAGTTTTGGATCAAGTTTTGTTAGGATTGTTTTAACTCCTTGGTGCTGGGTAAGAGCTCTGTCCACTGTAGCTTGGTTTAATAAATTTGGTTTACACATAGATGGCTCTACAATGTTCTTCTCTATTTTTAATGCTATTACCATTATTTTTGTTTTTGTTGTTAATATTATTGACATTGGAATTATTATCATGATGTTATCAACACTAATAGTATTAACAAATAAAGAGATTAAGGGAAAAAATTAAAATATGCAATTAGTTAGGAATAATAATTGACTCCATGGTGAGAAGCTCTAAGTGGATCCATTTTAGTAAGCAAAATTAGTAACCAAATTTATAGTGGGTGTGGCATGTACTTTGCAACATCTTGATATCAACGTGATAACCTTAGGTCAAATGGATTGGTGTCTGTTAATGTGATGATTATTTGTTCTCTCTCTCTCTCTCTCTCTCTCTCTCTCTCTCTCTCTCTCGCTCTTTCTCTCTCTCTCTCTCTCTCTCTCTCTCTCCTCTTTATCTATCTATTTGTCTACCTCTTTGTATCTCTCCCACTCTCCCTTTGCATCTATCTTTTTATCTTTTTCTTCGTATCTGTTTCTCCGTGTATGACTCTCTCTTTGTATCTCTTTCTCACTCTATAGTTATCTCTCTCTCTCTTTCTCTCTCTCTCTCTCTCTCTCTCTCTCTCTCTCTCTCTCTCTCTCTCTCTCTCTCTCTCTCTCTTACTCTCTCTCTCTCTCTCTCTCTCTCTCTCTCTCTCTCTCTCTCTCTCTCTCTCTCTCTCTCTCTCTCTCTCTTACTCTCCTCTCTCTCTCACTTTCTCTCCATCCCTCCCTCCCTCCCTCCCTCCCTCTCCCCCACTCCCTCCCTTGACCTCTCAAAACCGTTTTCTTCCAGGGATCTCAGCTTCAAGAAGGGAGATGTGATTATTCTCCGCAAGAAGATTGATGCCAACTGGTACCAGGGAGAGTTAGGTGGCCAGATTGGCTTCTTTCCAGCATCTTATGTGCAGGTAAATCATATTGCTTGGGTAGAGGACCTGTAAATTGGATTCTTTGTACTGGTAAGAAATATTTCATAGGATATTCATAGCTAATGGTAGTTTCATTAAGATGTTGAGACCATTTTATGAAAATACAGTTAATTAACTATTTTACCCAATTACAATATACATTCATTGACGGTGTCAGAATTCACTGTGCGGCACTCATTACAGCGAGTACTAGCATCCGTCTACCCTTTCCGCTCTCCCTAAGAAGTTTCAGCTCACTCGGCACTCTCCCTCCTGCAGCAAGCCTTGAACAAACCCTAATTTGAAGGTTGTTTGTTCCATTTTACCACCAGGGACCTTGTGCACAGCCAGGGAGTTGACCACGGCCATGTAAAGGAAATTTAGGGGGAAAATTGTACTACTTGAAGGATTTTCCATTGAGCTTGTATGACTGAGCTAGTAGAACACTGAGATCAAATCCCCTCATGCTGTGGTTGTACTCCACTACAACCTGTAGCTTTGATCTTGATAGTCCCAGGTGGAAGTTTACTCTTCCTTGCCCTTTTGCCTGCAGGTCTGTCAGCATGTGCTCTCTGTATATTGAAACTATGCCAACAATGCTCATTTTTCTTTACTCTAGGTAGCAGAGTAGGTTTGAGGACTAGTACCAGATGTCCATGAATACTTGTACACTTTATCCAAGAGGTCTATCACTGCCTTCATTCTCACGGGGAGCTCCCCGAGGTCCTGTCCCATGTAGATCTGAAAGGCAGTGGTGTAGCTGGTTTCTGGTCCCTTGCTCAAACAGAGCTTGTACACCTTCAAGCCCCCTATGTGCTCTCTTGTTCAGAAAGTACTGTAGCACCTGGTGGTGCCCCTTGAAAGCCCAGAGGCTCTCATCCTCTGAAATCGTCTTGTTTGGAATGATGTTCGAAAGCGTCTCATACAGGATGTCAAGCACTGGCCGTGGCTTCCAAAGCTGATCATCAGCAGGATGGTTGGTTTTGTTGTCAGCTAAGTGCAGCACTGATATGAGGGTGTCAAACCTCTCATGTGACATTGTCTGCGGGAAGATCATAGACAACATCAGGGGGTTGCATGACCAAAAATCTCACATGTGCCTCTTGGGCTGCAATCCTGCAAGCCAAGGTACACATGAAGCTCCTGCACTGAGGTATTGTTTCATCCTTTCATGTGGGCAGAGGGTGTCCTTGAATTCTGTGCAACATATCTACTGGAGAAAGAGAACTGACCTTATCAAAAACTTGCTTGCAAGAGGCAGAGCATGAAACATTGTAAATAGATATTTTCAAATGTGCAAGTAGGTAACATAATTTGATATGCTTACCAGTTCATTTCCTGAGTGATCTTTTCCAGAAGTTCCTCTGTCAGGAACTTACTGAAGACTTCTTCTGACTCTGAAAGCAGCATCCAGGTCAGGAACCTTGACCCCAAGAGCTGCAGTGAAGTCAAAGTGCTATGGGTCAATATCCCTCTTCCTCCAGTCAAAGGAGGAGGCACTGGGGGCATTGCAATCCCAGCAGCGCCTGACACACTCGGCGAGATTCTCATCAAAGTCAATTGACATTTCATTCAATGGTACAAAGTTGTCCTCTCATGGGAGTTGGACAGCTCATTCCATTATAAATGTATACAGACATGATGGGGATAGCTGTCCCCGGTGTGAACTCTGAACGCAACATGATGGGTCGCCTTTCTTTGAGGGCTACAGCCGTATCTAAGAGGTTATCAAATTATTGACTATATTTTCACATAGTTCAAAAAAAGCCAATACTGGCATTACTGCTGTTGATAATATTACTATTGGCAAATCATTGCTATTGAGATAACAGAATTTTATTTTTACTTCTCTCGTACATGTATGAATGAAAATATCTTGGATGCAGTTTATGTAATAATTGTTATGGTCTCCAGGTAGATGAAAATTACAAATTGCCTTGTGTTTAGTTTATAATGCTGAAATATTTTTCTTGCTGGTGCTTCAAATAAATCTTGAATAAGCTATTTATTTTTTAAGAGATCAGTAACTATTGAGGACACTGAAAGATTCATATTTTAATAGTCCAAAAACACTTCTGACCTCATTAATATTTCTCCTTGGAAATTGTACCACAGCTTAATATCAACTGAAACTTTATGCGGGAAGTTTATGTTAAACTTCATTATTGTAATGTATACCTGTGCAATGAAAGTTTGATATACTATACCACACAGTATTTTTAGTCAACTGCTCTAGAGCAAAATAGAAATCCAGGAAACAAATTTACCTGTTCATATAACCCATACTTAATAAAGATACACCACTTTCTCTTGCCATATATAAAAAGTAGTTTACTAGAGGACAAAACAAGAACTTCTAGGTCTTAAAGATGAACACTTGCAAGATATCCATTTGAAAATCTTCTTTTGCATAAAGTTTTATCAACACATCATTGTTCTCCCATTCACAATGTATGCGCAAAGACAGATACTGGAACTTTTTTTTCAGGTCATTACACCACTACCCAGTCACATCCCTCAGTGCAAAGCTCTCTATGACTTCAAAATGACCAATGATGAAGAAAGGGATTGCTTAACCTTCAGCAAGGTAAGGATTTTTGCAACTGGTGTTGAAATGTGTTTTGATATCATGAATATGTTATGATGAGCCATGATTTTGCAA